TTTTTGGCTGGGAGTTAAAGTATATATAGTATTAATCAGTGAGCTTCGGGCAGGCAGAGTTTGTTACCTTTGGACAGACATAGGGTGGCTGTATCCAGGTTTTATGATAAGCTATGCTAACCACCAGCTACCAGAGGTAGCTTCATATAAGCATGCAGATGTGGCAAAGGTATTGCTCCTCTCATCTACCTCTGAAGTAGAACAATAATTAGCCAATTTCCTAAAATGTTGAACTATATAAAAAGGCAAAAACTACAAAACTCTGAAAAGCCCCTGAGTATGTTTTAAAAAGTTTGTGACACCACATATTTACACATTTAAGATGTTATTAAAATTGGGCTTCTGTTTACATCGACATCTGAAATGTTTTTAGGTGCAAATTAAAAATATATTTTTTAATTCTTATTCAATATTCAGGTATTTATAGGTGTGCCTAGATTTGTGTTAAATAAACTGTTTTGTATAATAAATGAACTTAAAGTGCAAATTCTGCAATTTTAAGGTTAGTTATGAACATAGTTTAAGGGACAAAAGCCCTTTGAAGTTAACAAACTCAATGCTATCTGAACTTTCACCCTAAGTAAAGGCCCTCTGTCTTCTTCTTCTTCTTCTTCTTCTTCTTCTTCCTTCTGCTGTTCCCGTTAGGGGTTGCCACAGCGAATCATCTGTTTCCACCTAACTCTATCCTCAGCATCCTCTACTCTCGCCACAATTAGCTTCATGTCCTCTTTTAGCACATCCATATATCTCCTCTTTGGCCTTCCTCTTGACCTCTTGCCTGGCAGCTCCATCTCCAACATCCTTCTACCAATATAACCACTATCCCTCCTCTGCACATGTCCAAACCATCTCAATCTGGCCTCTCTGACCTTGTCCCCAAAACAGCCGACCTGAGCTGTCCCTCTGATGTGCTCATTCCTAATCCTGTCCATCCTGGTCCCTCCTAAAGAGAACCTCAACATCCTCATCTCTGCTACCTCCATCTCTGCCTCTTGTCTTTTCCTCACTGCTACAGTCTCTAACCCATACAGCATAGCTGGTCTCACTACTGTCTTGTACACCTTTCCTTTGATTCTTGCTGACACTCTTCTGTCACACAACACTCCTGACACCTTTCTCCACCCACTCCAACCTGCCTGCACTCGCCTCTTCACCTCTTTCCTACACTCCACATCACACTGGACTGTTGACCCCAAATACTTAAACTCCTGCACCTTCTTGACCTCAGCCCCCTGTAACCTCACTGTTCCACTTCCCTCCCTCTCGTTCATACACAAGTAATGGCTGTCTATAAGATGCCTTAATTAGTTAATTATTAGTAGATAAATGGGATTTTTGAGATTAGAAAAAAATAAAGGGTTTCAGTTTCATAGCAATAGTCTGCAACAAGATGGGCTTACTTAAATTACATTTAAACACTGGTTATTTGTTGTCACCAAAAAAGCTTGCTGAAGAAGGCTTCAGGCAGTGCAAATCAGCTCAGAATATTCTAAGATTTCATAAAAAACCTTGACTCTGTTCTGTTCGGTGTTTCGTATCATTTTCTGATAAGCAAGGCTAAATTAAAATGTCTGATTTCTAAGTGGCAATCAATACGATTGTCTCCATACCAGTGAGAACAGAATGTAACAAGGTTGTAATAGTCCGAGACACAACAAGGAAAGGCCACTGTGGTGTTGCTGATGCAGTGCGTTAAAAGGTAAACTGAGGCCCCCAGAACACCACTTCTCTCTGTGTTTTCTTACAGGCCTGAAGGACATGAAGACCTTCTCCAGCACCTCCTGTAGAGTCTTCTTCCCGCAGGAGGAGATGTAGTCCTGGGCCAGCTGTAGGAAGGGGAGGCAGTCCTCACTCTCACTCCACACATGCTACACACAAAAATAAACACACAGATGAACAAACGCTAGTCCTCCTATGCTTTATTTCCAAGCAGTAATATAGTAAGAGTAGGGGACTTTGTGTCAAGATTTAACATTACACCAGGTGATGCAACATTGCCACACTCTCTCTAACAGTGTAGCCCCATGTGGGCTGTATAGTGACACACATCACGCAGGAATTAATGACTAAATAAATAAAGCTGGGTCAGGGGCAATGCAGCACAGAAAAACTAGAGCAAAACAAGTGAACCAGACACAATTCTTCAAGGGCATACAATAGCCAGAGAGCAAATAACACAAAAATGATGACATGTTTGTCAGGTTTGCCCGGCTGCACCTTCCTCTCTTCTCTTTCTTGCACTAGTCAGCTCCCTTACACTGATTATTTGATTAGACACACCTGCCCCGATTCTCTAACACTCATCAGCTGCGCCTCCTTAGTCTCCCTCCTTATTTATACACTGCTCACCTATTACTCCCCTGCTAGTTCTTTCTCCATCGTCAGACCTCCCCATGCATGTTGCTATTTTCTTGTTTATCGTTATGCCAAGTATGTTTTGTTCCCTGCTTCCTTCTGCGTTTTGCCTAGTTCCTGTTCTTGCCCCGCCGTACCTGGCTTCCCTCCGCATTGGACCTCTCCTCTGGATCCTGGTACCCTCAGCTCCACCAGCCACCACCGTCACAGGTCGATCCATTAACCATAACTCCTGCCACTGCTGGTCGACACCCGGTTTCTTCACCACTTCACCTTTGCAAATATTTACGCACTTATTTGACACTGTAAATAAATCTCACTGCTTGCACCGAAGCCAGCTGCCTGGGTCTGTTGTTTTTCCTCCGCTCGCTCACCTGTGTGTCGAGCGTTCATAACAATGTTACACATAAGATCCACTGAAGATTTGTCAAGAACCGTATTAGAAACTAATGCTATGCTAGTACTGCACAAAGCAACTAGTTCATCATTAATCTGCTAATGATATAAAAAACCTGAAATGAATGAATAATCTAAAAAAATTATAATACGTTAAGATACGTTTAATGGATTATATGCATTGTTTAAGTGATTTTATGGGGACAACACTTAATATGAAGAAAATGACACTTCAAATCCCCTTTTATTTGTACCTTAAAAAGTCCTTAAGTTTGTTAAGGTGCATGTTCAGGTGTCCAATCCTAATATTAATGTGGATATTGATTGGATTGTTATACTTTGGGGTATTTTTAATTGATTTTATGGATGATTTAGGGGTTTCTGTATCTAAACCCCCTTAAAGTTAAAAAACCCATGAAAGCCATGCCTTGAGTTACGTTCTTTGTTTAAGTTGTAACATAGGGCCATTTGTGGATGAATTAATGGATGGCAATTCCATTAAGACAATTCTAATAGCTTATATACAGAGTTCAAGGTGATAAGCATAAAACAAAAAAACTTCAAATTGAACATACCTAAATTTTGAAAGTAACTGAAAAATAAAGGCACTTTTAAAGTTGGTGTTGTGGTAATTTAGGTCATTTGCATCTTCAATACTCTCTAAAATGTGTATATAATCCATCTTCATTAAACACCTTAATATATTACAAAACATTCAGTTCATTCATTCAAAATCTCATATGAAAATACCAAAATTAATCATTAATGGGTAAATGGAAGGAAATTCAAGTAAAAAAAATAATAATAAGGAAGAAGAGGAAGACACTAATATGTGAGTGTTTTAGGAGTCACATGAGACACGGCCAGGGTGATAAAGTTTCTTTTTGTGTTACAGAGAGGGGTAATGTTGCATTTGCCTGCTCTGACTGTTCAGACACTGATGGATGGATTCTCACATCGGGTCATCTCCACTGCACAAACTAAACCCCACCTTCAGTCAAGTTGTAAAACACAGTAAAACAACTGCTGTTATTTTTTATGTGTTGTGTCACTAGATGGCTGAAATCTACTAACGCATATACCACAAGGGAAATTACAGAGCTGTACAGTTTTAGGATGGGACTGATCTCACAGCGCCCTCTAGTGAAAGGACAGGTCGATTCTCTGGGTGTCAACAGTCTGGCCAAAAACAACATAAACTGACAATGACTCTGTGTATGTGTGTGTCTGTATTTGTATGGCCAGCAGTGTGAGAGGCCAGTTTGAATTTTATACCACTGAAGTGAGGACATTTTGACCGGTCCTCACTTTCTCATACCTCTTCAAAGGTCTTTTTAAGGGCTATGACCTGTTTTAGGGTTCAGTTAGAATTATGTTTAGATTATGGTTAGGGTTAGGGTTAGGATATAGTTGTGATGCTTAAGGTTAGTGTAAGGGGCTAGGGAATGCATTATGTCAGTGAGTGTACTCACAAAGATAGCTATACAAGCATGGATAGGGTAAGTCTCCAGTAAATAAATGGAAGTCAAAGCCATTTTCAAGGTGGGATTTTCTTTTATGCCAATTTTCCACCATGGTGTTCTGTTTAGAAGACACTGAGCTAGTATGGGGGCTTAGCGCTGACTCTGTTCTATTCCACCATGAGAGATGATAAAATTGGTGCAACCATTCCACACCAGCCTATAAAGTGTCTATGTAAAGTTCCTACGAGGAACGTATGTGCGTGTGTGTGTGTGTGTGTGAGTGAGAGAGAGAGAGAGAGAGAGAGAGAGAGAAAGACCAAAAGAGAGAACAGAGTGGGAGAGGCAGACAGCCCCAAGACGCCCCGCTGATTGCAGTATTGATCCTACAAGAGTAACTAGATCTCAAGAGAGACAGAGAGTTATTCTAGCTGATCAGAGAGTGCATAACTCAGAGGGAACTCTGTGGGTGTGTGTGTTCATGAGTGGTAGGACTGCAGCAGTTGACATGCATTCAAAAGTGAGAGAAAAATCTGATGTGAAGAAGAAAGATGGAAAATGAGAGTGGTGCTGTGAGACAACAAACAACACAATGTATTTATGCACCTGTATCTTGTGCACATGTCTGAATTATTAACCCCTTTGCTCAGTTTTTTCCCCTGTACTGATATTTTCATACGATTATTTTCTTTAATCATGAAGAAGCTGGATTTATGGTTTCTGTTTTTGATCATTAGCCATGAAAAGTCCCTGCTGAAGCAACTGCTGTCTGTGGGATGGTCCAGTTGGTGTCTACAAACACATAACACAGGCATGGTGGGAGTGACATAATGTGTTATTGAGTGAACAGGCGCCCTGACTCCTGGGTCATCTCCATCTGCTCCCAGCCCTGTTAGCCTCTATCACTGAGCAGGAGGAAGGAGCGGACTTGGCCGGGTCTCTGGAGCTTTAAGAACTCATATCATGTAGCTTTCATACAGTCTAAATTGTTAAAATGTTTTGATTTAGTGGGATATAAGACTGCTGTGTTTATGTATAAAGCCAGGAACAATTTATTACCTGGTAGAATTCAAAAACTATTTAATGAAAGGGAAGGGGGATACAATTTAAGGGGTCAGTTAAATTTAAAAATTCATGCTATACGTACAACCAAAAAAAGATTTTGTATTTCCATAAGTGGGGTAAAACTATGGAATAATTTAAGTGTGGACATAAAAAATAGTAATAGAATTGACGAGTTTAAACATAAATATAAAGGTATGTGTCAATCAAGATATATGCAAGAACAGGCTCAATGATTAATTAGATAGAACATTGTGGGTGTGGTGTATGAATGTTAACACAATGTAATAATTCTTTAGTATATTACTTGTGTGGTGTAGAAGATAATTATCTAAGATTGTAATTATGTAGAATGTTAACACTCTGTTATAATTCTGTAGTACTGTATATTACTTGTGAGGTGTAGAGGATAATTATTTATGTAGAGATATTGCTTAGGACTTAAAAGTTGTAAGATGATGTCATGGGGTAGGACTAGATAAGTCTAACTTCTTCCTACTCTGTTCAAACATGTACTAGGTATAAGTAAATTGATATTGGATTATTATTGTTGGATATGTGTGAAATTACATGTTGACATATCAACTGTTTTACATGCTTGAATGAATAAATCAAATCAAAATCAAATCATCACTGCACCACACTGCTATAGGACATACTGTAAAAAAAACAAAGTGATTGGCTTTTATTTTGAAAGTTGTAGGCCTCGTATTTTTTTTATCTGCCTTGACTGTGTTGTGGTTCCGAGCGTTATCGCAGTTGATTATAATGGAGAAAGAGACAACGTCGATCAAAAGAGGTGGGGGGTGCACCCAAAATGAAATGACATCATCTCCCCCACTCTTCGCCCAAAGCCCCCCTCGCTTCGTCTCCCATGTCCGTCAGCTGCAAAACCGGGACCAACTGGGGACAACCCCACCTCCAACCCACCGTCGACACACCTACAAGAACACGCACACACAGCTAGAGGCCCCTGCAGAAGCGCACTTACGAAACTGTCGGTGCCGCCGGGACACAGCACGTAGAAGGAGACGCCGGGCTCTGCGTAAAAGTCCATCCGCCTCTCGTCGTCCTCCTCGGCAAAGATGAGGTCGAACGGGTTACCGGAGCACCACTTCTCCGCCGCCTCCACCAGATGCTTGAACTCCATCCTCTGTTAACCGTTCTGCAGTTTCCCTGGCTCCGGAGCTGGATCTTGATGTCTCTGGCCGTCACGGTGATGATGCTCAAGACACAAATAACAGCTGATCAGACAGCAGCATCAGCAGCTTCCACTACCGCATCTCCTCTAGTGCACCGTCTGCCTGGCCCGGGAACAGAGATAACACTGGTGGTGCATACAGCCTACCGGGTCTGGTGCTCATCCGCCCCTCAAAGCCCCATTCCTTTCTTCCTCCCAACGTTATGAAATCAGCCTGTCGGTCGCACACATGCATGCGCAGGAGGACGCTGGGAAATACGCGATGACGAACAGTGGAGCCGGGCAGGCGTCCATATCTGAGGCGCTGCAAAGGCCTACTCCCAACTTTCTCACTGTAGAACAAAGTACTGCAACGTTTTAACTTGCTGGCATCATGTTGAGGCATGACATGAGCCTTTATTGAAAGAGTATAATGTAATTATCATCATAAACTAATACCTTAAAAGACAATTACAGGTTGGCTTAATCACATCGCAAAAAACACAGTTAGTGCTTATTTTTAATTGAAAAGTATTTTATTAGCCAAGGTTTAAAGTCCAGGATATGCATCACATTATGACAAGAAACATGTGTATCAGTCTTCAGTATAGGCTTAAAAACGAACTTTTCAGCTCAATTCTATGATAGAAAATACTGAAAGTTCAAGAACTTCAGCAATGAATGATATTTTTTTGGTAGTATTTAATATTGTAATACTTTAATTTTAATCTTTAATTGAATAGTATTTATAATATCATCTCACAGAACATCATACTTTCTTTTATCCTCCTAATTCAGTATGAATGTAGTCACTATTATAGACTTTTACTGGTAAATGACTTACCACTCTGACTGCAGAGGAATTCAGCCAGGTTCAAATAGAAGTGAATCATCACTGACAGAGAACAAAGTTCTGTCAGACTCTTCTCTTTATTTCGTCTCTTTCTTCCCTCTTCTTTCTCTTTCTTTCCATAGGGAAAAACACTTCAGTGCCAACTGGTGCCTCTGGGAACCTCTTTATAAGCACCGTGTTTACAAGAATCCAGCCTGCTGCCATCATCATGCCTCCAGCCTGGCCCTCACTGCTCCCAGGAGGCTTCACCACCAGAGGGCCAGAGAGACCAACTTTCAACTCCATGTTTGAGCTGCGTCAAGATGGAAATAAAGTAAAATGAATGTATTATTTGAACAAGTATCTGTCAAAATAAAAGAATAATTTGTGAAAGAGTAGGTCCACAGAGGTATAAAATGTGGCATGCAAACTAAATTAAGTAGGGTATATTAGATTGTGATCTATATAGTCTGGTGTCTGCTTGCTGGGGTTGTGTGCTCTGTTCTGGCTGACGGGGCAGGACTACAGTTTGCAATCATGGCATGGGATACACCTGGGCCTGGTGTGTTCACCATGCCTTTTTAAGCCCAGAGCTCCTGCCAGTCTTGGGCCTCTCTTCCCTAGACACCGTGGTATGTGGTGTTTTCTTTAGTGTTTTTCCTTTGGAAAATGCAGCACATTCTTGTTCTTCCACTCCCTAGACTGCATATCTTACAGTCTTCTCCTTACAAACCTACTTTGTATTTTGGTGTTATGTGTGTGGGTGCATTATGTCACTGTGCACCAAGACAACCAGGCACAGGGACAGTTTCTTCCCCCTGGCTGTCGCTCTGATGAACACTTAACCAGTGACCATATGATTGGACAATAACCCTCAGTGGAATACCTGTGTATATATACATTGTACAGATTAGACAGACTCGTACAGGTCTCTAGTTTTAAGTGCTCTATTTTTATCCCTAATTATCTCATTTCAATCAACATTCCTTTGTTGTCTGCATTGTTACTGTCTATTTATACTGCTTATTCTGCATTGTTTGCACTGTTTGTTGATGTTAATACTGCTTATTTTTGTTATATTACACAGCCTTATGCTGATTTACTGTTTGCACATTGAGAGCCGATGTACCAGAGTCAAATTCCTCGTGTGTCCAACACACCCGGCCAATAAAGCTGATTCTGATTCATTAAAAAAAAATTAAGCTCTGCATTATCCTCGTCTGTGTCACCCATCTTTGCCAAAGCCATAGAGCTGGGCTGTGACAATAGGCTGAAAGTCTCAAGGCAGGATCAAACTGTTCTATTGCCCCTACATTGATTGACGGATCCTTTAGTACTAGAACATATTTGTAAATAGCATTAAAACAGATCTATATAGGCATATTTTCAACTGTGTGTAACAGTAAGTCTTATCACAATATGTGAACATATGGGTTAAACAATGATTAAATACATGATGGATTGGGTCCTTAAGCATGGGTTGAAACATATTTAGAAGTCAGTCTGGTGGAGTTTAAAGTTTAATGAATTTTATGTACATATTTTGAAAATTTTGCAACCCTATGGAATTAAATTGCAACTCTTTAAATCTGACTTAAAATCTCTCAGGAAACATGCAAGTATGATACACTGTGTGACTCAAGGCTGGATTACCATCGGAGAAAGGCAGGCAACTGCCATGGACCCACACAACAAGGGGCCCCAAAGGCTATGGCAGGTTAATTGAATTGTCTTTAATTAACCTTTTCAAAATAAATCTAGCTGGATAAACATGTAGACATAATTCCAGTGTTATTTTTATGTGCTTTGATAGTTTTTATACTTGTGAATTTAATAATGTGCTAACAGGTTGATTAATTCATGCATGACAGGGCATGAAACAAGAAACAGTCATACTGTGCTTTTACTGCTCAAAAATGTCAAATCACTGCTGAAAATCAACCTTGGCTTGATGTTTCTGTAGTGGAAATATCATGTGGAGCTTGAGGTAGATTGATACATTTCCTCTTCTCTCTCTTCCCTGTCTCACTTCTGAGAGACAGAGAGTGTGGAAACTGTCCTGTCATTTGGATGCATCAGAAATGCTTAGTCAGGGCAGAACTGACTGGATCAGCAGCCATTACCGCTGCATGACACCAGGGGGAGCTGTGACCACAGTCAGAACAGATCACAGCAGGTGAACAGCAAGCACACACTGTGTCCTGTCTTATCATTTTAAAGTTTTATTTATTAATTTAACACATTCTGATTAACCTTATATGCAGATACAAGGAATATAATGACAATTGCAGCACACCACATTTTGCAGTCTCTATGCCAAAAATATGTGATGAAAAATAGCATATGTATATGGCTGAGGGAAAATGTAATAATTTCATTCAGAGGGCTTCAGTCTATAACACACAATAGTCTACTCCATCAGAAAAGCTGTTACATTTACAATCAGTCAAACTTAATCATTCACTAAAAAAGCCACTTGTACAAATTAAAATGTATGTACTCAGTTATTTTTAGTGAATATCATTTTTCTTAAAAACAATTATTGTTTGTGAATGTGGGAGGAAACCAGAGTACCTGCGAACAACTCATGACACCCCAGTAGACAACAGTGAACTAGTCTCACATTTTCTTAAATGACACCAACCCTGTTTCTGCATCTGAAGACACTGCAGACAGTGTTGCCCACAAATGGGAAGAAGTTGGAAATGCAATGCTTGTTGGGTTGTGTCAAGCATCACGCTTGATAGTGAAGGCAAGGCATCTTTCAGCTCATGGTTCCTCACAGTACATGAACAACAGCTGCAAGTCTACATCATCTCAGTGCTTTAAAAATCCTTTCGAAATGCCTCTGCTGAGCTTTTTGCAACATTTTGATGTGATGTCAAAGTTGATTTCCTTGAGTTTTTTTTTTCACACAGATGCTTAATGATGGCTTCTACCTTTCCAGTAGTAGAATGCAGTTTTGCTTCCTTGAATGTCTTTGTGACTTGCTTTTCCACCAGCACTGACAAAGATGTTGACGTTCTCTGCATGTTGTTCCTGCAGAGGTTTGGTCTGTGGGTCGTCACGTACTAAGGCAGAAATGGCACCAGCTCCTGAAAATGTTGTTTCTGGTTTAGCTAGTGGGTCCTCAGATGTAGATTAGAGTTTATGTGTACTGTAGAATTGAACAATGTTTTGTTGAATGTTAGTCTTTGTAAACCAAAAACATAACCCGTTTCCTATTCAGTGTCAATACAAAGCTTCCACATGAAGTTGCATCCTGTTGAAGTGAGTGAGGCAGTGTGCTATATGCCTATCTTGAAGGATTAAGGCCCCTGTGTCATGTCTAAAAGACATCAACAGAAGGGATGCTCCAGCTGGGGTTTAGTCTCATATCAGTCAATCTGTCATAATCATTATAATCATTTGTCATAATAGCCACATGAGAAACCCCAGCCTGTCTTATTAATATACATATCCAGTGGTGTAATAGACACCATTAGAGTACTCCCAGTGGGAATGACACAAACTTTAAGTTATTTTAAAAATATAAAAAAGATTCAAGGTTTTCTCAATCCAGAAGTCACCTCACAGTGGGCAAATGCTGGGGGCCCAGACTATTTTGTTTATATATTTTGATTATTTGCAAATTTGTTAGAAGCTTGTCAGATTTTATGCATCACTGAAACATAATATCCACTGTTACAGTTCTTCCATCTTGAGGTCCTGCCTACACTGTGTTAACTATTATTTTCATTACCAGTGCATATGACAGTTATTTTCTGTAATAATCAATTGTTTGCTCTGTGTATAAAACATCAGAAAATATTGAAAATGTCTTTGATTATCCAAGCTAACAATAGTTTTTTAAAATTCTGACCACCAGTCAAAAATCCAAAAATTGTTTACTGTTACAAAAACTGAAGAAACTATCATATTTGAGAAGTTGAGTTTTAGCACATTTGTTTAGAAATTTGATGATTCATCAAATTTTTATACATTTTCTGTCAGTCAGCTAATCGACTGATCAAGTAATATTTTCAGCTTGAGTACATTGGTTGGTTTCTGGGTGTTGGTGGAAGTAATGAAAATGCCTGGAGGTCTGTTGGGGCCCAACAACAACTTTTGTTGTGATTGTGGGTGAAATTCTGATTGACGAACACATCTATCATGTGGTTCTAGAAACAAATGTTAAATAAAATGGAAATGGCGCAGGTGTCAAAATGTATCATTTTAATTTACTAAAGTAGACTATGCCCATTGATTGACTTATAAGCGGACATTTATTATATGTAGCTTTTATTATGAAAGTGCACACAGGAAGTAGTTTTTTTTTCCACAGGTCGCGCGCCTGTCGATCCCAGAGGTTGTGATCTTTTTCAGTGCGCGTTGGAGAGTCAGGTTTCCAGGCGCTCTTCCATATCCAGTGGTCTGTACTTCTTTAAACGAATTGCAGCCTTATAAGCGTGAAACATGCACCGTGCTCTGTGTAAAGGGTAGAGAGGACGGACACCCTCTCTTACTCAATACCCCGGGATCGCTCGTTGTTTGCAGCGAGGACACTCCTTTTCTTTTGCCTAAAAATCTCCACAGATGCTAAAAATGGATCCCTTGGGAAATGGGAGTAATGGTAAGGATGAATGCGCTGAGGAGGAAGAAGTGGATCCAAGAATTCAGGTTGGTTTGTTTTGAAATTCTTCCAGATGAAAACGTTTAGACTTAAGTCTAATGTAATAAGTTTTCCGATTTAGATTTTAGTTACTATTATACGATATGACAGTGCCATCTAATAGTGAAATGTTTATTGAACGTGTTAGCTGTGTAGCCATTCATTTAAATGTTCTAAGGTGTTGACAAAGATCTAAGAGAATTTGGCCCTTTAACGTTTTCCCAATACACACACACACACACACACACACACACACACACACTGAGGGCTGCATGCTCAGTGACACACAGTGTTACTGTGTAGTAATCAGTAAATCGCACAGTTTCGCCTTCAAATTCATAATCTACTGTAACACCCCTCACCCCTCTCTGTACTTTTCAATGCCTGCCATATTGTCTGTTAAAAGGGAGAACTGGAGAAGCTGAACCAGTCTACAGATGACATCAACCGCTGGGAGAGTGAGCTGGAGGTAAGACAGAACACCAGTCAGCAGCACTATTATCATCATCATTATTGCATATTCCTGCT